CACATAAGACCACACTCACACACACAAGCTCTCAGTGTCACTCACATGCTAACACATACTCACACATTGTGTGTGAAGGGTAACACCCTTAAAATAGGACACTGCAAGGTCAGAATCTTGAGTTTTCTCTTACTTTCCAACCCAAATGGAGTGTGTTGTGACTTAATCTTTGTGATTTGCACACTGACAGACTGCATAACAGGTTGTGTGGTTGGTGTAGCATGGTGTAGACTGATGTTTGATTCCCCCTGCTATATAAAAAAAGTCCTTGGGCTCCTAAGACTCCTAATGCTACATTCACTTACCTCTGTAACATAATAAAACTGTAAGTCACTCTGGATAACTGTCTGACAAATGCACAAATGTAAATGTATGACTAATTCCACATGGGTTCTGTTTTACACACATAAGACATAATACTAATTTTTTCAACATTGTTAACATGTTTTCCTTGTTCGACCCTTCGACCACCTATAGTGCAGGCTGAAGCCCAAGTGCCTGTTGTTGCTAAGACAGAATCTATGACTAAGGCCCTCTCATTCAAACAAAGCTTTTAAAAAGCCTTTAAAGCAAAACCTTAAAGCAACTTCTGCACACTACGCTGGAATGCGCTCATGGGAGACCTACAGATTATTTTAAAAAATAGCTCCCCTTGAGAACCTCCACTGTTACAAGAATTCACAAGAATGAGAGCCATTTGGAACATGCAGCCACTGTTGCTCTCACTGGGCGAGATGAATTATTTTAATAATATGACAGTCCTAAAAATGATGAGAACTTATATTTTGACCAGTACATTAAAATCTGTATTGTTATCAGCAACAAACTGTTCATATTTTCCAGGCCCTACAGCTCACACATCTCTACTCCCCACCAGGACAATTCATTCTTTTCACCGAAACACCTGAAAGCAGACGTTTGGATCTTCAGCACTGCTATTGTTCTCGACGCGGTCGAACATGTCAAACAAGACCGCTCGTCCCGACGTGCAAAAACTGGGCCATGGTAATAAATAACTCAAAACAACAATACATCATTGAACTGCTCGCACCAGCCCTCATGGGCAACTTCAAACAAATAGGCCCAATCAATCAGAAGTGAGGGGAGCACGCTGGGTGCCTCACCCCAGAGGAAGCTGCATGCATGGTGTTGGGCTTTCCATGAAAGGCTGGTGGAGAAGGAGTAAAGGAGGCTAGGCTGGTAATCCAGGGGAGCTGGGGTTAGAACAGCAGCCTCCGTGGGGGCCTAGTGATGGAAAGGCCCTCGGAAAGATCCATTGTTCACTGTTTGAATAATTAATGGTATGTACAACCTTTAAACAACCTTCCGGCCACCTCGTCGGTCATGGCGTGAGGTGGGCGCCCTGGCTCACAGAGGCTCATGTTAATGGAAATGAATACACACATGCATCTCCACACACTCAAACATACCTGCAGTGGTGGGGGCAGAGGAGAGAGAAAGTTCCCTCTGCTTTAACCCCTGTAACCCACATTAAGTCATGTAGCCGATGCATATGTACAGTGAATGAAGTGCCCTATTCATCACTGGCTGATTACAGCATGCTTACAGGCCGTATTTACATCAGAGAACAAACGCAATCTGGGAAAACATGATATACAATAGAGAGGGATGAAAAGTTCAAAGGCATGAATCTTTCGCATAAAGACAAATTAGATGTCTCAGGCAATATCATCACACATTAAACATTCCTAGAAGATCTGTAAGGCAAAAAATCAGGTCTGAAGTATAAATATTGTTGTGTTCCATGAAACAGTAAAGAGGCTAAATGTAAAGGCTTGTACTTTTGAAGATATGAAGCACACAATATTATCCTACATTTTTTTATTTACTTTTTTTTTTTTTTCTCTCTGAGGTCCTCTTATGATGTTTGTGGGGGTTTATGTACCAAGAACAGACATACTTCATTTTTACATGATGTAAAGAAAGATGAGCTGGAAAGGAAGCAGGATGCAAGTGCAAGAAGGTTTTATCTGATCCAGAGGAATGACAGAAGAAAATGCAGACAAAAATAACAAGGGGAGAAACTAAACTAAGGAACTGAGCTCATTTCTAAGTTTTAAATACAAAATAATGAAAGAGTGTTTTTTAAAAAGCAAAGCTAACAAATGTAAAGAACAATAAACAGAGAAAAAAGTCACAAAATAACAGTGCAATAAGCTGGGAACAATAAAGACTGGGTGGGGTTACAACAACCCAACAGGGGGGCGGGGCTATGAAGAACAGGAGGCAACAATGGTGCAGGCACAGAGAGGGGTGGAGCCTGACTAAAGAAATCAACACATGAATAACTTCCAACCTGTTTTTATCCACTAAAATTAAACAGACTGTTTTTTTTCTGCTGTGTCTTTAAGACTGATACATTTACAGTGGTGTGAAAAAGTGTTTGCCCCTTCCTGATTTCTTATTCTTTTGCATGTTTGTCACACTTAAATGTTTCAGATCGCCAAACAAATTTAAATATTAGACAAAGATAACACAAGTAAACACAAAATGCAGTTTATAAACAAAGATCTTTATTATTAAGGGGAAAAAAAATCCAAACCTACAGGGCCCTGTGTGAAAAAGTGATTGCCCCCTAAACGTAATAACTGGTTGGGCCACCCTTAGCAGCAACAACTGCAATCAAGCATTTGTGATAACTGGCAATGAGTCTTTTACAGTGCTGTGCAGGAATTTTGGCCACTCATCTTTGCAGAATTGTTGTAATTCAGCCACACTGGAGGGTTTCCAAGCCTGAACCGCCTTTTTAAGGCCGTGCCACAGCATCTTAATCAGATTCAGGTCAGGACTTTGACTAGGCCACTCCAAAGTCTTAATTTTGTTTTTCTTAAGCCATTCAGAGGTGGACTTGCTGGTGAGTTTTGGATCATTGTCCTGCTGCAGAACCCAAGTGCGTTTCAGCTTGAGGTCACGAACAGATGGCCGGACATTCTCCTTCAGGATTCTTTGGTAGACAGGTAGAATTCATGGTTCCATTTACCACAGCAAGTCTTCCAGGCCCTGAAGCAGCAAAACAGCCCCAGACCATCACACTACCACCACCATATTTTACTGTTGGTATGATGTTCCTTTTCTGAAATGCTGTGATACTTCTACGCCAGATGTAATGGGACATATACCTTCCAAAAAGTTCAACTTTTGTCTCGTCAGTCCACAGAGTATTCTCCCAAAAGTCTTGGGGATCATCAAGATGTTTTCTGGCAAAACTGAGACAAGCCTTTATGTTCTTTTTGCTCAGCAGTGGTTTTCGTCTTGGAACTCTGCCATGCAGGCCATTTTTGCCCAGTCTCTTTCTTATGGTGGAGTCATGAACACTGACCTTAACTGAGCCAAGTGAGGCTTGCAGTTCTTTGGATGTTGTTGTGGGGTCTTTTGTGACCTCTTGGATGAGTCGTCACTGCGCTCTTGGGGTAATTTTGGTCGGCTGGTCACTCCTGGGAAGGTTCACCACTGTTCCATGTTTTCGCCATTTGTGGATAATGGCTCTCACTGTGTGTCGCTGGAGTCCTAAAGCTTTAGAAATGGCTTTATAACCTTTTCCAGGCTGACAGATCTCAAACACTTTGTTTCTCATTTGTTCCTGAATTTCTTTGGATCGCAGCATGATGTCTAGCTTTTGAGGATCTTTTGGTCTATTTCACTTTGTCAGGCAGGTCCTATTTAAGTGATTTCTTGATTGAGAACATGTGTGGCAGTAATCAGGTCTGGGTGAAATTGAACTCAGCTTTCCAAAGATGTGATAAACCACAGTTAATTCATGTTTTAATGGAGGGGGCAATCACTTTTTCACACAGGGCCCTGTAGGTTTGGATTTCTTTTTCCCTTAATAATAAAGACCTTCATTTATAAACTGCATTTTGTGTTTACTTGTGTTATCTTTGTCTAATATTTAAATTTGTTTGGTGATCTGAAATATTTAAGTGTGACAAACATGCAAAAGAATAAGAAATCAGGAAGGGGGCAAACACTTTTTCACACCACTGTAAACGACCTCTGTCCTGACTGATTGCTCTGCTTTACTCGCAAGACAAGGAAAAACATTTTTGTTACATTCATCAAGAAATGTTTATACAATGTAAAGAGCTGCTGCCTTGTTCAAATATATATATATACAAGGGTTTGTCTCAACAGTGACAATATGTTTTCATGACAACACAAAAATAAATGATAGACATGAGCAGCTGTAATTTCAGGAATAGGTTTTGTCATAATCATTATGTAGGTATGCCACAAATCAGCCCAGTTAACACAGTGTACAAACAGAGCAAACCATGTGAACGTTAGCCTGTTTAGCTGAATGGCTGAGTCAGGGATGTTTGAGTCATATTGCAAATGAAAATGAAAATGCAGCAGAGTCATGGTCTTGTGCCCGCAACAAGCAGTGGACCAGCTGGTATTGATACCATGAATGTAATGTCAAGTTTATATTTTCTAAATACCAGCAGTTTCTGGTGATCGGAGGCAAGAGTGTACAGGACGCACTTGTGAGAAAAATTACTTAAGAATTTCAGCAAAGCTAAGTTGGCTTCTTACACAAAATTCTCATTCCACCTTAAACGGTGCAGCAGTTGCATTCAGGTGCCGGTACAGGTATCAGAATGTATAGTGCTCCATTTAAGGTGGAACAGATAATTCGAACAACACACTGCTGAATATAAAGCCAGTTCCTGCCTTGGAGAAGATGTTAATGTTAAAAAGCAATATTGACAAAGGTTTATGTACATGTTGTTCAGTTTTATTTTTACTATTGTGCACAATAAAAATATTCCAGATTTATTTTAGTTGTTAAAAATTGTTCTTATTAAAAATTGCAGGGATAGAATAATGAGGCATTGCAAAGCATCTAAAATGGTTTTAAATATATAAACATATATGTACAGAAATTTAAATTATACAAGTATTTAACAAAATTTGGCTTGTTATGGGCCCTTTAAAAACTAAACAAAAGAAAACTCTCTTACTCTCACACATACACACACCTCATTATGGATGTCTTCTATGTGCTGCAGGGTGAAAGGGAGTAAAGAGCGTAGACTCTTGGTACCAGTCTCGGGATCTGTGTGTAAGTTCTCCAGAGCTTCAGAGCAGCGTTTCTGGATGTACTCCAAGGTACCTGTTGTACACTAGACAAGAAGACAAACCTCTTCTTCAATAATCACTGCATACCTAAAAAAAGGATGCATTCTGATGAAAAGTACAAGAAATTTGAATAAACTTCAAACTACAAGAATCTAACTGAGCTATGATGTTGAACCAACAACAAAAATAAAAGATAATATACTCTGAGAAGTGCTCTAAAGAACACACACAAAGGCTTTACACTTTTCTTTGGATAGCACACAAGTGAGCAGGCATGGATGGTCTGAGACAATTAAAAACAGGACATGTGAAGATATATATGAATGGACTGAAAATAAAAAAATAAGAGAAAGTAGAGAGACTTAAACCCCAAATCTACAGGTATTACTATCATTTTGCTAAACACACACACACATCATCTAAACTGCTTATCCCTCTGGGTTGTGGTGGGGTGCTGGAGCTGTCATTGGGCGGAAGGCAGGATACACCCTGGACAGGTCGCCAGTCCATCGCAGGGCAGACAGACAGACATTCACATTCACACCTAGGGGCAATTTAGCATGCCCAATTAGCCTGACTGTATGTCTTTGGACTGTGGGAGGAAACCGGAGAACCCGGAGGAAACCCACACTGATACGGGGAGAACATGCAAACTCCACACAGAAAGGACCCTGGTCGCCCCGCCGGGAATCGAACCCAGGCCCTTCTTGCTGTGAGGTGACAGCGCTACCCACTGCGCCACCATGCCGCCATTTTGCAAAACAGTTACATTTAAATGTATTTATGTAATTACACAATTACACTGCATGTTATGTAATGAGCTACTTTTATATTAGATTTACACTCTATATCAACAGAGGCACTTTGGATATTTTTCAATTTATTTTGAAGTCAAACAATGACAGAAAATGGTAAATATGTAAAGGACTGTACAAAAAACAATAACTTTTCATTAAATTCTAATTACAATAAATAAATTACAATAAATATCTCCTCTATCACTAATTATCAGTGCACTGATAATAACACATGGACTAACAACAGGTCTACTTTTTTCTTCAACCCCACTGCACACTGTCTAGTCTCTACTCTTCTATGCTTAATGGTTGTATAGTTTTTGAATATTGTATAGAAGATTTTTCCATTATATAGTTGTATGCAAAAGTTTGGGCACCCTGGACAAATGACATTTTGTTGATTTTCTAAGTGAAAACATGTTGACACATTCTCTACAGAGAACACACATCTGCACATTTTAATGTACAATTACTGTTCATTTGCTGAATTTAACATATTTAGAAAAAAAATAAAACACACAGTGTGGCATTTACAAAAGTTACATTTGTCATGTGTTTTCCAATATGATAATCTCAGCAAAAAAATAGAAATTGTGCTCTAAAATTTGCAGAAAAATGTCATATGTAAGTGTGCTTTCTGTATAGGATGTGTTAACTTCTGTTCACTTAGAGAAATCTACAAAAATAATTTGACCAGGGGTATCAAAACTTTTGCACACAACTGCAGTGTTTGTATAGTCTGTATTTGTTGTCTTTTGCTCTGTTGCCTGCTGCTCTTCTCTGTTGAATGTAGCACTGTGTCCTGGAGTGACTACATTTCGTTCCTCACTCAATACATCAGTTGTGAGAAGGAAGGACAATAAAGTTGAGTTTGACTTGATTTTTTCATCTACCTTCAAACACAAACAGTATCAGCTGAACGTTTTGACAGAATTTCTACACTTGTTTTAATAAGCCACAAGCAGTAGTAATTAATATCAGATTACACTGTGCTTTTCATATTGTTGGCAATAACTGGCTTCTAAAGGTTAATCACAGCAATGAGGACAGGTGAAACTGGTCACATAAGCATAGGGACAGGCATGCCTCACCTGTGCGACTCTGTGCGTTGAGCTGAATCTGGCTGTTTCCCCTGCCAGTACGCAATGCTGGTGTGTCCTGTTCAGGTCATCTACACACACACACATACACACAGATAGATAAAAACAAGGGTCAAAAACCTCTCATTTAAGTTATAGTCATAATAGCCATTAATTATAAATGATTTATTATTCAGGACGATATTTCATAGAGATTACATACAACAATGACACTTTATTTTGAGTGGTCCTTTTAGATTAAACAAACACTCAACGGACTCTCAGTAACATGTCAAAAACATATGAGGGTCAGGATTAGGTTCTGGGCTAAAGTTAAGGTTAGGATTAGGGCCAGGGTTAGGGTTAGGTTTTGGGTAAGGTTGGGTAAGGTACAAATGGAAGTAGCATATTAACAATACATCTACTTAATGAAATTAATGTATCAACAGTACATCTACAAGACATTTACCTCAATACATTCAGATGCTTCACTACTGCTACTTCACTGCTATGTTGTTGATGTGTTAATGATAATCTGTTAAGAGTTTATTAATCGTCTACAAAGGACCACTCCAAATAAAGTGTTACCCATATAACATTTTCCACTTGCACAAGGAGGGGAAAAGTCAAAAGAAAACGAGTGAAAAAAACAGTAGTTTCCAAAACTGAAGTTAACAACCATGGAAGAGCTGGTGGACCACCACAACTGTCACTAGGGGTGGGAATCTTTAGGCACCTCACGATTCGATTCGATTACGATTCAGAGGGCTGCGATGCGATTATAAAACGATTATCGATGCATCTCGATGCATCTTTTTTCTCTATCTTCCTACTGTCTGAGGACTTGGTAGTTTTAAAGCAAAGTATTTCTAATGATCCATAATGTAAATGTATTATGGACCATTACAAATACTTTGCTTTAAATATCTAAAATATCTTTTATTAATAAATCAAATGGAAATGATGTGGCAAGTGAACTAGAAGGCTCTTATTCAGAGACGCTGCGGCCACTCGTCTGCGATAAAATGCGCTGTTACCCTGAAATAAGATCCTGTGGTAATGGGTGTCCACGCAGCACGTTACAGCCATCCTTCCCAACTGGACGCTGAATCTCGGCTCCAAAGTGTGCAGCATAGCCCTGCGAAAGCCCTGGTTCTCAACGACTGAGAACAGACAGGTCACATAGCACCGAAGTCTAGCCTCGCCAGTAGCAAACGAAGAAACAGAGATTAAGACGAACATTTGGAGGACTTATTCGCATTTATAAGCAGCGCTGTTGGTTAAATCTACAATGAGAGACTGTCTTTCTCTAAAAAAGTTGCGAAAATGAACTCGCTTCTCTTTCGAATTTTCCCGTTCCACCTTAAACAGTGCAGCAGTTACTTTCGGCGCCTAAGGCAGAATTTAAGGTGGAACGGGAAAATTAGAACGAGAAGCTAGAGAATAAGAAGCTACTTCAGCCTCGTAAAACAGCCGGATGCTGAGACGTTTTACCAGAAACTCTTCTAGTTTTGAAGAAACTGGCGGAGGTGGAAGGAAAGCGGCTGTAGCTAACCTAAAGCTTAAAGCGGAGCAAAGTGAATCTGCGCTCTCGTTTATATTTTTAGCCCATACTAGGACATTAATACATACTAAGACATACTGGACATTAAATGTTGTGGCTCCCGAGGTGGTTTGACTTTGTTGAAAGGACAAAATGGCTCTTCTTATCATTTGGGTTGTGACTCCTGACCTAACCTGGCTTTAATGCAGAGGGAGCCGGTCGGATTTCTCACTCATCCAGCTGTGTTTTTGTTATGTGCCGCCACAGACTGTCCGGGCGTTGCACTTACCCACTTCCAGTTCCGCCTTGTGCGTTCCGTCAACATTACGTTATAAATTAAATATCTAGAAAATCGATTTTTGACATTTATGAATCGGTTCAGAATCGTTCACGTCCGCATCGCGATGCATCTAAGAATCGAGTTTTTCCCGCACCCTTAACTGTCACCATCAGATAAACAGCACTTAAAGCTTTCAACTTTGAGAGAGAGGAGAAAATCAAGCTTCACTATTTCTTCAGATCTGAAAAAACCCACAGGTGTTTCTAACCATCCTTCCACCAGGAGAAGACCAATCAACACTATGGATTTTAAATGGTGTGCAGCTGTCAAGAAGCTCTTACTGAGAAAATTTTCCAATCAAACAAAGGTAGTGGTGTTCTCAAAACAATGAACTGGCCATGAAAAGAGCATAAACGTCAACATCACTGAATGTGTTTGGGATTATTTAGTTCGTGAGAAGCCGAAAATGCAAGCAAGAACCATCTTCTAAGACTGAACTTTGCAGGTGTAGAAAAATATCCCTGCAGAAAAATTGAAGACTCTCAAAAAGAATAGAAGCTGTAATATAAGCAAAAGACAGACAGAGGAAACACTGAAAATTAAGATATGTTTAGTTGCTGAGGCGTCTGGGTAATCTTCTGTTTTTAATTCTTGACACTGCAAAATGACTAACTTGTAATGACAATTTTGACTGGAAATGAAATAAATGAAGGGTGGACTTTTGCACAGTACTGTGTGTTATATATTCATGAATTACAGTTCTTTTAGAAAGAATGCAAGATCAGAAGTTGATCTTCAAAATGCTTAAAAATATCTGGAACAAATGTTTTAATCACATCATGCTGTGCTAATTATCAACTTCTTAAAATCAGTATCATTAATGGTGACAAATTTTGCATATTGGTCTGACCCTACTGAACCAATGTTGCAACATTTCAGGCAGCAATATTACAAAGGAAAACATGGAACAGTCTTTCTTTTCTGACTCCACACTTGCTCAACAAATCAAAAGCTGCAGACCTCTTTCTCTCTCCCTCTCCCTCTCTCTCTCTCTCTCCCTCTCCCTCTCCCTCTCTCTCTCCCTCTCCCTCTCTCTCTCTCTCTCTCTCTCTTCGGCTCCCAGCCTAGGACAGAAGAACTAAAATGTGACTCTAAAACTCCCCTACAACACACAAGTCTTGAAGAACTCCTGCTGGCTGCCTTTGTTGTGCACTGTGTAACTATGAAAAAGCCTGAAAACTCATGTTCAACAAATCAAAAGGTCTGGACCCCTTCTTCTCCCTCTCTTCGGCCTCCAGCCTAGGACAGGAGTACTAAAACATGACCCTAAAACTCCTCAGAACGCACAAGTCTTGAAGGACTCCCGCTGGCTGCCTTTGTTGTGTGCTATGTAACTATGAAAAAGCCTAAAAAACCAAAGTGGCCACGTCTGCTTGTGTTTCCTTTCCAGACTATTATTCCTCCCTCTAGTATTACATCCTTTTAAGAACGCTTTATATTCAATAATGCGCGATCGCTCTCGACCCGGGCCCTCTCGCAAGCCCTTTGAATGAATCATGAGGCGAAACAAATTCCCGTAATAAATATCTATCATTATTCTCTTGTCATCGGGGTTGCCTCCTGTCCAGTCGAGGAAGCAGGCTTTTAAATCTATTGGGTCAAAGCGTCTGCCCGCTCCCAGGAGCATTCCAAACTGGAAATCTTATTACGGGCTGAGGCCTGGCGCATTGTTCTTTCCTTAACCAGCCCCTAAATTCCATTTGGTGCAAATACAGTGATTCAATTTGCACTCGACGGCTCAGGCATTAGCGGATCGAGGGGGCCAAGCGGCGACAAATAATGTTTCAGGAAATTACAGACAAAGCGCAGAGTAGTCTTTTTTCTTATTACAGCCGCAAAGCTCACGTCTAGAAACATCAGGAAGATAAATAGATGTTTAAAGGGCCCATACCCTATATTTTTTCTTGTGTTGTATTTGCTTCCTGAAATCGTTATAACTATTGAGTGGTTATATGATTTAAAAAACAGCCATAATTCATCTTTACTTGACCATTTTACAACCTCTCTTTATCCCTTAGAATAAAACAGCCTGTTATTGCCCCTTTAATATTGTATATGGAAATGAGCTCTGTTCTGATTGGCTATCCTGTGTTGTGCCTCATTTAAAAGGAAGTCCAGGCAGAAACACTCCTTATAACTTCATCATGACTGGGAGGGGTTAAACTAAATAGGTGGATATATGTAAATATGTTGGCTTTATTGACATCACAAAAACAATTAATTCAAAACTGGCTGCTGCAGCTTAATTTCCAAATATAGTTTCAATACAACTGGTCAAATGGCAAGTTTTGTTGGTGAGATGAGAATAAGTTCCTCTACAGATAAATATGGTATTTTTCTGAAAATTTTAGAGCACAATTTCTATTTACTTGCCGAGTCTTATATATTGGAAAGAAACAATACATAAAATATAAAGGCCTGGGTACTATGTATGTGGTACATCGACAAAGCAAGGAAAATTCAAGATATGAATTCATGAATCTTCCATGACATGGCCCCTTAAAAAGACCACAGATGTTGGGACACATTTAATCCAATATGGAGTGGATTTCTTCATACTCTATCAAGAATGGGGTAAGAAAAGTCCATGCTGGTGCCTTCAGTCATTGCCACTTAGATGTAGCCCAAATAGAAAACCAACGTATTCGGTAGCTTTTGAATGTAATTAATAACCTACCACTATGTACTGGTTCAGCTCTACACAATTCATCACAGTGGACTGAAAACAGACTCATAACACATAAATCAAGTCTAGTTAGAGGCCTCACACTAGACAGAGAGAGAGAGAGAGAGAGAGAGAGAGAGAGAGAGAGAGAGAGAGAGAGAGAGAGAGAGACAGAGAGAGAGTGTACTGGTAAACTGATCTAAGCATGCAGAACAGAGGGCCCACCGACACACACCGATTCCAAACAGATGAACACATCTAAAGAGAGACAATAAAACTGTGTCTGTGTCTGCGTGTGTGTATGTGTGTATGGCCAAGGGAAAAAAAAATATTAGTCATGCTCGTCCACACTAAACGACTGACATAAAAAGTGTCCTTATTGAGGTCATCAGACACACAATGTTAGAGGTTCTGTGCACATATGTGTGTGTGCGTGTGTGTGTGTGGGGCATGGATTTAAAGTAAGCGCATCTGCTTTATCCATCAGAATCAAGGACTGAATTAGTTTTACTCGTCTCTCAGACTCTCTCTCGCTCTCTCTCCAGCTGAGATCAAGGTCACAGGTCCACATAACATTTTTCTTCCGTTTTGTCTTACCATCTCTAATGCAATGATGAGTAATGCAATGAATAATGTAGTTATTACACGAGGTCTGGAAATTCAATAAAAAATAAGAAAACGGAAATACGGCATTTTAAGTGCACAACTTCTATTTTAATTCCATTTCAATTTTAAATATAATTTCTCATTTCTATTCATGATGCAAGTTTGACATATAGAAAAGCAATACAAAATAAATTGTAAAATGTGTCATAACTTCTGCACCGATCACATTTTATGTTTTATTTATGTTTTAATATGTTAAAGCTGGAGCTACAAGTCTAATGTTGCTGAACAACACTAGAAGTCAATAGTTCCCAAAACTACTCTCAACCCACACAAACCATATCCAGGTCTTCATTAAGGCTGCACTTCTTAATGTGGTGTAGAGCTGTGCTTCTCAGTCTTTTCCACTTCAAGGCCCACATAATTATCACTAGAAAACATGAAGGCCCACAGGAAAACAACATTTCTGGGAAATTGTTTAGTGTGCCTATCCTCGCACTACAGGACGTTTATCATTGGTCAAATTAGGCTAATGTGAGCTTGTTTTCTACCAGAAATCAGGCAGAATGGTTGCAAAGTAAGCAGCAAAGTAGGTTTCTGTGTTTTTGCAATGCATTTTTATACCAGTCACTCACAAGTGGACAACTGATGGTTACAGGCCTTGTATTAATATCATCTACCAAATTATAATCTGTAGGGTCCATATTGTGCGTCAGTTGGGGTAAAGTGGTTGACCACAGTGTTCAGCTACATAGTGAAAGTTTGATCATTTTTATAGCTCAGTAAGTCATACTGGGCCCTAAACCACACAGTCTGTGCAGCCTTAATAAAGGCATAGATGTGGTTTAAGCAGATTAAGAGAGGTTTTGTGCATGTATTAATGGAAAAGATTTGGATGAATATTGACTTCTAGTGCTTGTTAGAAACATTAGCCAGTTTTAAACTAAAGAAGCAAAATATGGACACCAAACATGTCTTGGCTACACCTGAGGTATATGTAAAGTTGTGTAAACTGAATTTCCAAACTATTCCTTTCAGTATAAATGTCTTAACGTACCCTTAAGCACATCATAAATTCTGTAAGTATGTCTACCTGTCATGTAATAGCAGTCTCCAGACTGCAGTGGCAGGGCCAGCCCCGGCGTGTGGATGTCCCAGGCCACCTTCAGCCCCACACGCCAGCATGCCTTCTCTTTCTCTCCTTCTTCTTTACTCGTGCCCTCGTCGCCCCCTTCCTCTTCCTCTCGGCTCCCTCTTTCTTCATCCCCCTTTTCTCCTTCATTTGAAGTCTGTCCTTCTTTCTCCACTGGCGCTTTCACTGCTGTTAACACAAAAGCAGCCAGCGGTTAGGATTTAGGAACATTACAAACTACTGTGTAAGTGCTGATCCTGAATCAGTTTAAGATTTTTTCGTGTATTAATAAATGCTGTTATATGGGCAGTTGAATAAACTGATTAGAACCGGACTGACACGAAAATTTTGTGATTGATGCTGACACCGATTTTTGGGATTCCAGTCTAATTTCGTTTGGTCAAAAACAAGACTTCAAGAGGTTAATTGTGCTTTATTGACAGACATGATTGTCAATGTTCACATTTCTTAAACTAAACAAACAGCAGAAACACTTAAATAAGGCAAATATTGTAGCATTGGAGGCAGAGCTAAGAATTAGTAGAGGGTTTGTTTGTCCATGTTCTTTAGCTCTTATTTTTCCTCAGTTATATGAAGTTTTTGTGTGTGTGCTAACAATATCCTCATGCTTAAGGTCAGGTTTAAATATATGTTTTGTACATTTTTGTTATTTTAACCATGCTTTTTTTATTCAAACTTAACAGTTTGTGGCCAGTATGGCCAAAAATGTATATCAGTTCTAATTAAAATTTATTTCGGTAAATAAACCAATGTCAATACAAACTTCAGCATCATCAAATTTCTCAAGCTTTTTGTTTCATATGTGCGTCCCATACACTCGCACCTCTGATCATCAGACATTTGGAACTGGGAAAATGTTAGAGTCATTCACACTGTCAGTATCGGCTGGTCCACTGCTTGTTGCGGGCACAAGGCCCCTGAGACCACAGCCTCATTTGATGCAGTTCACAAGTCAGGAGGCTTCTCAAGCGGAACGAGAGGAAATGTGGCAATCACTCAGGTGTCCATGTCAGACTATGGCTAACCCCCCAAAAACGGCTATTCCATTAAGCCAGCTGCTTCAAAAACAAAGTGGACTACTTCAGAGGCAACAGAGGTGATTGAGGTACTCCTGCCTTTTCATTTTCATTTGAAACATGACTGAAAGACCCCTAATTCACGCAGCTAAACAGGCTAACATTAGTGCGTTTTGCAATGTTTGTACATTGTGTTACCTGTATAAGGTTTATGACCAAACCCATACCTGAGGAAGAATTTCAACCACTATACCAGATGAACAGTTTATCACCCACCACTGTTATAACAATAAATACCAATACACTGATATATCACAGGACATAGATTTTAATACCTTGTGGATACTGTAATACATGCAAAAATGCTAAGACACAAAATGCTAAGCCACAAATGCCAGGCTACAGCTCCACTCCAATACAAGGTTGACAAGGATGAGGTTGAAGATGACAACAGTAATGATGTCTTATCTATATTCTCCAGATAAGAGAAAATATTGTGATATGAATTTGCTTAACTCTAAGTTCAGCCTGTATTGTCATAGTTGTGAGTGGTTTCAAAAAGTGGTTTCAAAAAGTGTTTTTTGGAGCTTTATCGCCAACACTGATAAATCTGTAGGACCTCTATATCATCCAATATTACCATCCAGCCGACATATCGAACAGGCCCTAAGCCTAATCCTAGATCAGCACCCTTATACTGCAATTTTTAATAAATACAGGCTGCAGTGTTTGGAGTAAGAAATGACTGGAGTTATTTCCTTTCTTCCAGGCTTGCAGAGAGAGAGAGAGAGAAAGAGAGAGAGAGAGAAAGTGAGAGAGAGATAGAGAGAGATAGAGAGAGGGAGAAAGTGAGAGAGAGAGAGAGAGACCAATAACCAAAGAAGAGAGCAGAAAGCAAAGAGTACAGGGTTGACATCCTTCAGTAAAATCAATACTAAACTCCTCTCAGAGGCCCCGCGCCCTGAGCAGGCCTTTCTCTTTGCTCAGCAGGGATAAATAGTAACTTAATTTCAGCCCCACGTTCCCTGACACAGCTCTCAAAGGGCCTCTGGCACGAAGCACATCAGCAACTACTCAGGATTCAATCAGAAACCTAGCTGGACAGCTGTAGACAGAAGCTCACAATGAGGGTTTATTTTAACCCTTATGTGCTACATTTTCACTCATGATAACAAAAGCATGGCATACTTAGATATTAATATTATCATTTCTCACTCGTAAGTTCATTGAAATAAGCAGAGTTTGAAAGTGCAGATTCTAAACTTTCGAATGTATGTCTGTAAGAAGAAGAGGAGATATTTTATTGTGATATTTGATGAAAAGTTATTGTACAGAAAAGAAAAACATTCTTTACATTTTTACAAGTTTTCATCAATTATTGACATCAAAACAGACCTGCCAGTAGAGAATGTAAGTTCATATGAAACTCTTTAATTAATCATGTAATTGTTTTTAAATATTATATGAAAATGACAGCAATAGCTGGACTTCTAAGGATTAACACTAGAAAGGTTGGGGTTCTATAACTTCTAAAAAAGCCACAGAGGTAATTTTCACTGTTTGAATTTTACATGATTATTTATACCAGAGAATATAAATATATGTTATATATGTTATTTAAAACACAGGATAATTTTGCAGACAACATTTTTTTGTGTTTGTTGGGACATGTCATTAGAAATGCCTGGATTTATTTTCAAAATAAATATTCCACAAGTGCCAGTAGTAGAAGTACAAAACAGAGGCTATACAAATACCACAAATTATACCTTTCAGTCAGAAAAGCATTGTGTCTCAAATGTATTACTTTCACATGTAAACAAAAAAGTTAAAAAAAAAAAAATTAATTAAAAAAAGCTTCTTATGTTACTATGCAGTAAAATTCTTGCTTATTTTACTGCTAAACATCAAATTCAACTGTAACATTAAATTAGATAAAATGTTCACATCAACTGTTTGAAATTAATTTACCTGCATTAAGAAAACTATTATTTATTTATTAAAATTATAATTTATTATTTAAATTGTTTATAATAGTTAAATACTATTTAGTATAATCAAAATGAAATTTATAAGATTTGACGGCAAAGTGCGTCTCGTGTGGGCTGATGTGTAGCTGGAAGCTAGACAATGGCTGCATCTCAAACCACGTACTACCATACCAAATAGTATGTCAGGAACAGGACACTACCAATAGCAGTGCATATATTACAGCTGTATGTGTGGTATAGCAGTATGTGATTTGAGAGCATCCTATGTGATAAGGTGAACGCAGGGCACATTTCACTCTGCTACCGTTCCACTGAAAATATGACGTTTCTGGCCTTCTTCACACAGGGCTCAGCCATCTTCAGCACCTCACTCTCTCCTAAGCACTATTCAGATGGGATTAGTTTACATGGGTAGGGTAATGTAATTTTACCACAGGACGTCTTAATGTTAATGACCAACGTGCACAGGAGGTACTAAATTTAGCACTGTGTCACTAGCATTGTCATTACCTAACAGTCACCATCACAACATAAAATCAAATGTTTTTTTTTCTGTAATTTTTACGTTTTAATGTTCTACACACGAGACAGGACAAGAAGATTACGCATCAGCGTGATTTTAGTCAAAGAGAACATAAATAAACACCTCTTCAAGTGCTTTCATAACAAGAGACTTCTTTTCCACAGGAAAAAAACAGCATTTTTACTAACATGTCAATTCGTACGGGATTAATATAACTCGAGATTGTTTCTGTGGCTCATTTTACAGAAGGTAAAAGGCTTTGGAATCTTTATTGACGCAAGAGGGTCATTACTTCCAATAACAATGTCATACTAAAATAGGCACTAATTTAGTAAAAGTTAGGGAACAGCTGATAAAGCGGTTTTATTTTGTCAAAATTATCACATCTCAAAATTGCAAAAAGGTTAAAATGACCGCCTTGGCCTTTCTAGATTTAAAGAAGTTTGGAAGACGAATAGAGTAATCAGACAACAGTGGAGAACTATTCAAATGGAAGTTTGTAGTTCAATGTGAGTTGTTGCCATATTACACCTTTAAAAGCTTAGCTTTTCAAAGGAACTTTGCTGAGACACGGAAAACACGTTAAAAAAAAAAAAAAGAGCAGGCATTGTGAAAACGGGTTTGTGAGAGCACAGCAGCGTTCTGCTCACTTCAGAGTGCATTACCGCATTACAAACCAGATCGATCGAGGATCCGGTCCAGAGGGGCACAAACAATGGAACACGTGCGCATGCTAACGCAGGAATCTTGTAAGAAGTCGTAAAAAAGCAGAAGGGTCCTCCTGGTAACGATTCCATTTCGCCTGGTCTGCAGAGCTTCAGAGCGAGGGCTCTAAAGCGAGCGCCGCAGCTGGTGTGTGTTCACACAGGAAAAGCTTTTGTCAGGAGAAGAGGGGAGCTGAGAGGTCAATTTGGCCTCAGAAGGGAGCAGCTGAAAAGTAACTCTGCACAGGCATACGAAGCCGCGCTGCGCTCAGGCCGCGTTTGAAGCGGGCCCTGGCGAGGCCGAAGGTGAAATTTGTCGGTAGGTATGAGTAAAACAAAGCTAAGGCAGGTGGTTCTCTTTAAAGAAATGCTCTGCTCAGTCTGACTAATACATGCTTTCACAGGCTGTTTCTTCAAATAAATGAGCACTATCTCACTGATCTGAACACTTGTTAGCCTTGCTTTTCCTCAAGTTTTCAAGAAAGAAAAATGCAACAGTCAACAGTTCCCCTTATCCCAAATGTAGTCAGTGAGCTAAGATATAGCCTGTGTCCTAAATTTGCTTCTTTAGTTTAGCGCTAGAGCTACAAGGCTAATGACGCTAATTAAGGTTAATGATGAAGTAATAGAAGCTTATACTATACCAGTTAGCTCTGTGCAAACTGCATGCCTAAACACCACACCACGCTCGCTTCACACTGCATCAAGGCATTAAGTAATCTCAAACAGACTTGCTTATGGGCTTTCTGACTCTGTATGACATAACTGTTATCTATAAAAATATATTTGTAGATAACAGTTTGTCATACAATATCATAAACCACATAAGCAAGTCTACTTGATGCTATATAAAGGGGAATTCCACAAATTTCTAAAAATGCTGCATAATTGAATGGTTAAGATGTAAACAAAGTCTTTCAGAGAGAGCCGTTGTGAAATGTTCTGTTTTAGAGAAACTTACAGCATCTGAATTGTTCACAATGGTGGTGATAGGAACCAGACGTCTGTAGAGAGGCCTCTGAAAGCATAAAGTATTATGAATACTCTGCCTGATGCCTGAAACTTTTTTATGACAGTTTTGATATAAGGTGTTCACCTAAAATATATTTCTTCATGACAGAAATTTTTGTTTTTTCCGATTTACCACTGTTTTACCATTATCAACACTACATATCAAAAACTCAAAAGGACAGTAAATAAATGCGTTATATTTGACTCATTCTTAAGAAACAGCCTCAAACCATGTCCATAAATATTTGAGTGTAATGATAGCACATTATTTAAAACAATATTTCAAACAATTTAGTAGGTCAGCTGGAGGCCTACATGGCACAGCACAGAAGTTACATGAGTATTTTTTCTGCTATTTATTTATTTATTTATTTGTGTCCATATATCTGTTTCTGATTACTGATATTTATCTTTTTTTGCTTTTTGTAAATTGGAAAATTGGAAAACTTTGTATTGCTTTTAACTCTTGAATACACTAACTTTCATGTTGTCATTGCAAACTCTAAGGTAGTGAATCAAAGCAAAAAAAATGTTGTTTGGCACAAGTAAAGAAGAAATCCCAGACAGCAAACATGTCTAGCTGATTAATTACACTGGTGATAAGGTGATCCACACAACCAACACCAAAAAACAAAAACTTGTACATAACAGTGCATACCCCATAATAGGGTTCTACAATGTCTCCTCTTTTAATACCTTCAAACTATCTCCAAATATTACAGTGGCACATTGTATTACCAGGCCAGGGGTTGAAAGGTGGGGTGCAAGTGACACAAGTGCATTTATGAAACTTTTTTGCCATCTAATCCTGCGTTATTCAAAATAATTATGTGGTCACCAAGTAAGTGAACACAGTTCACAGCATTTAAAGCATCCTTCTATAAATGTCAAACCATCTAACAACTGTTAAACATGGCTTCTAACAAAGAGAGAGGAGCTGGTTAGCATTAGCTTAGCTTGCATGATAATAGCTCTGCTCACCATAGAACATGTTTGATCCTGGCTAAGTAAAGCCAAGAAAAGTCAAATTTAGATGACAATGATTCAAAACTGAGGAAGTGAAATTAACAGAGCAACAGAGCAGTGAAATTAAACCTGTTCAGTGATGTATGGATATGTAGCATGATCGGTAATGTCAACTTAATGTCAGCTTAGTGACAGTACAAGTTTGATTCTGACTGATTAGTGCCCTGCTGAAACAAGTTTAGATGATAAAAACTAATGTGTGAGAGAGCAAAAGTTGAGCGATTGGTGTTGAAATGAAAGAAAGCCAAAATCGAACACGTTCTGTGGTGCTTTAGACTGTAGCGCTTTGGCTAAGCTAACAAAAGATTAGTTTGCAGGTCAAACGTGCCACACACAACAGAACAGCGTTGGTTCCAGCTAAGTGAAGCAAAAATTACACCAGTTTAGCGAATATGTGGGAGCTCAAAGTTGAGTGACTGATATTAGAGTAAAAGCTGAAATCAAACTTGTTCTGTAGTGTGTGTAGTAGCTGTCGCTAAGCCGCTGTCATGCTTAGTTTTTCTCAGGTTTTTCTCTCTTTCTATCAGTGCCACCTATCAGGCAGCTCCCACACTACAAATCAGAGAGCCTTCTAAAATATAAAGGAGTGTAATGTGCTCATTTAGCCATTCAGATGTGGAATAAAAACATCAACATTTTGAAATACTGTCTTAATTTTAACATACCGGAATTATTTTAAATACCGTGATATACGTTATTGCCCCATACAGGCCACTGTAGCATGCCCTCACCTTCAGGTTTGGTCTCTCCGGGACAGCTGTAGCTGTAGACAGCCAGGGGTGAGAGCGGCACCAGGTTTTCGTCATGGTGCCAGCCCACCGCCATCTTGCCCATGCCATAGTAGGGCTCCTCCTTCAGATGAGTCATACCAGCCGGGTCCATGTAGTTAATGAGCGTGATGTTGAAATGAACTGGGCCGCTCAGTGAGGGCTGCGGAGGAGAGGAGTGAGAGCAACCCTGCCCGCTGTCCGAATCTTCTTCTTCTCCCTCCTTTTGCTCCCCTTTCTCTGACTTTTCCTCTTTCTCCTCCTGCACTCGGTCTTTTTCAGGTTTCTCGCTTCTGCTCTCTTTTTTGGGGGCTTCCTGGCTGCCGCTGTTTTCTGTCTCACTGTGTTTGCGTTTGACACCCCGGGCATTCTTGTGATGTTGGATGTCCGTGCAGAAGAACTGGTTGAGCTCCCATAATGCCTTGCAGGCGCTCCTCAGGTCTGGGTCGCAGCAGGGCTTCTCGCTTTGGCCTTCGGTCTGCACCTGCCCCTCCTCTTCCTCGCAGTGCCAAGGGATGGTGAAGAGGCGAGTGTCCAAGTAGCGGTAGGTGCAGCCCGGTTGACCCACCAGAGCGCGGGACACGGCAGTGAAGACATCCCGGTCCCGCACGCGGACCAGGTCCCTCAAGAGGCAGCCGCGACGCCGCAGGGTGGTCAACGCTGACCGCACACGTTCATGGAGGCCCTCGGGGAGCGCTCCGGCCTGCCGCAACGCCAGACCCGAGTAGCTGGAGTCCCACTGCAAGAAAACACACATTTAGCATTACAAGCATTAAAGGGATAGTTCTGAGAAAAAAATCTGATTTACCATACACCTGATTTCTAAATTTTCATAGAGCTGTGAGACTAATGTACAGTGATTTCTTCTATATTTGCATACTTGTCACACTTATTTATTTCAGATCTTCAAACAAATTTAATACAAGAAAAAGACAACCTGAGTAAAAACAATATATACAATTTAAATGATCTCATTTATTGGGGGGGAGGGAAGTTATCCAACAAAACTGTGCGAAAAAGTAACTGTTATCAACCAATTAACCAAATTTAGATGGATCAATTAAACTAGATGTGGAGTAGACTAGAAGTCTCAACAAGCAGCACACTATGCTGTGATCAAAAGAAATTTTGGAAGAGATGAGCAAGTAGATTATTGAAATATATACTATATGGTCAAAAGTATGTGGATTCCGGACCATCACATCTATATGAGCTGGACATGAAATACAAAAACCATGGGCATTAATATGGAATTGCCTCCTCTTTGCAGTTTTAACAGCCTCCGCTCTTCTTAAATGGCTTTACACAAGATTCTGGAGTGTGTCTGTGGGAATTTGTGCCCATTCAGGCACTGATGTTGGATGAGAAGGTCCGGCTCCCGACTGATGTTCCAATTCATCCTAAAGGTGTTCAGTGGGGTTGAGGTCAGGGCTCTGTGCAGGCCACCGGAGATCCTCCATACCAGACTTGTCAAACGATGTCTGTATGGATCTTGCTTTGTGCACTGAGGTACAGTCATGCTGGAACAGGAAAGAGCCTTCCCCAAACTGTTACCGCAAAGTGGGGACCATATAATTGTCTAAAATGTGTTTTGTATGCAATAGCATTAACATTACCTTTCACTGGAACTAAGGGGCCCACACCTTGATAAACAGCCCCAGAACATTATCCCTCCTCTACCAAATTTACTGCTGCCACTGTGCATTCTGTTAAGTAGCGTTCTCCTGGGATCCATCAAACTCAGATTCATCTATCAGACTGCCAGATAGCGAAGCACAATTCACCACTCCATAGAACATTTCCACTGCTCCAGAGTCCAGTGACTGCATGCTTTACACCACTCCAGCAGACACTTGGCATTGCGTATAATGATCTTAAGCTTATGTGCAACTGCTCGGCCTTGGAAACCCATGTCATGAAGCTTCTAATACACAGGTCTTGTTGCTTCTAGAGGCAATTTGGAACTCTGTAGTGAGGGATGCAACAGACAATATCCAATTTTTATGCCCTGCACACTTAAGCACTCGGCTGCCTCGCTCTGTGAGTTTGCATGGTCTACCGCTTCGTGGCAGCACTTAGACGCTTTCATGTGGCATCCTATGAGAGTCACTGAGCTCTTTACTATGACCCATTCAACTGCCAGTGTTTGTCTGTAGAGACTGCATGACTATGTGCTTGTATATAAATATATATAGCCCTACAGTTACAGACAGGGTTACAAAGTCATTCCTAAGGCTATGGGACTCCAGTGAACTGCAGTGAGAGCCATTATCTCCTAACGCAGAAAACTTCGAACAGTGGCAAATCTTCTCAGAAGTGGCTGGCCTCCTGAGAGAAATGACCCATCCAGGAAGTCACAAAAGGATCAAAACAAACAATAAGGCAAGGTCAGCATTCATGTTTCCACCATTAGAAAGAGAAAAAAGGGCTATCCACAGGAGATGTTCCCAGGGGACAACTACTGCTAACCAAGGGAAACACAAAGGCTCATCTCACACTTGCCAAAAAACATCTTGATGACCCCCAAGGCTTTTGGAATAAGGTTCTGTGGAGTGATGAGATGAAAGCAGAACTTTTGGAAGACAAGGGTCCCTTTACATGTGGCATAAAGCTAACACAGCATTCCAAACTAAGAACATCATACCAACAGTCAAACATGGTGGCAGTAGTGTGATGGTGTAGGAATACTTGCCATAACTGACAGAACCATGAATTATGGTCTCTGCCAAAAAATCCAACAGGTGAATATGCCATCATCAGTGTGTGATCTGTAGCTCAAACGCTATTGGGTTATGCAGCAAAACAATGATCCGAAGCACATGAAGTCCACCTCTAAATGTCTCAAAATTAAGGTTTTGGAGTGGCCTAGTCAAAGTCCTGCCTTGAACGCCTCTGAGATGCTGTAGCAGGACCTTAAATGAGCAAGTCATGTTCGAAAGCCCAGCAATGTTGCTGAAATAAAGCAATTGTGCAAAGAAGAGCAGGCCAAGATACCCCCACAGCAATGTGAACGAATGATTCTCCAGTTATAGGAAGCGTTTGGTTGCAGTTGTTGCAGTTTTCTAGGTGGGTGTGGGGGCAATGACTTTTTCACATATGTTTTGCAAAACATTTTTCCTTGAATAAATGAAATTATTGTTAAAAAATTATGTTTAGTTTTTTCTTTTATTACCTTTTTACAAGGATCCATAGAGTGACAAATATACAAAGAGTCCATAGTGTGACAAATATACAAAAACAGAGGAAATCAGAAGGGCATGGCACTGTAATGAAAGCTTAAACCCAATAAGCATTGTAATAATTGCATGCCTTAATCAATGCATGTTTACCTCAAACTGCATTGAGCTGTTAAGTAATGTCGAATAGACATGCTGATGTGGTTTCTGACACTTTATGTCATACTTTTTTATGAAAATGGACAAACAAAATTCAGACAGCAAGTTGGCTAAGTGACCTATTTTTGTTCATTTTAGAGTTTCTAGTTTATAGACTCAGTTTGCAGCAGGTGTGTGATGGTTCAGGCATAAAGTTTGCATGATGCTAATTGCTGAGGTATGGGCTTTCATTACCTTCATTGCTAAAGGGAAAAACTGTGAACATTTGATTTTTCACACTGTAACTTTAAACATGGTATATAACTACAAATCACATACAATATATAAACTTTTCTACACTGACAAATAGATTAGACAGTCAATCCAATTGGATTCTTGCTGTATTATTATTATCATTATTATTATTATTATTATTATTATTATGTTTCTGAAACAGACATGGAGTGTCGTGGAAGCAGGTGGACTCACTAGCTGTTGGAAGCCGGGGTCAGAAGGCGAGAGGAAGGGGATCCGTTGCTCTCCCAACTCCTGAAGCAGCCGGCGCCTCTACACACAAACACAGAGGATGTATACATTTATAGTACTTTTATTATACTTTATAAATGCATCAATAATCATTTATAGTACTTAATGAGTGAGAGACGCACAGACAGACACAAACCACTGCTCAAATGTTTGCTTGAAAAAGTTTTCAACAATGAAATATCTAATGATTACAGGTTGATTGTACTTTGTAGGAAGCTGAAAAACACAAATGCAAAGCCAAGATAAATTGACAGTATATGTTTGAATGACAGTATATGCTTTATTTACATGTTTTATTTAATAATTGCATCACTGACAAAAAACTGCAAAATAAAACAAATACATTTTGGTAGTTGTTGTGTATTGTTGAATTTATATTGTATAACCTAATATTACAATGATAATATTAAAATAATAAATGGTATTAATATCAAAGTCAATCAGTGGTACAGTAACTATCTACACAGGGTCTACACAGAGTCTATCAGGGGATAAACAACCACAGTATAGAAATTTCAATATTCATCAATCTCAATTCTCAGCAATTTGGCAAACAATTTAATAGTCTAACTTTCAATACTTTCAATTCTGTATTTAAATTAAGGTAGCGCCAGGGTTAATTTTTTAACTGTACTGATAAAAAAGAAAAAAGACAATGTAAATTAAGCTGTAAACATTTGAATTGTTTTTTTTTTTTTTCAATCAAGTGAATAATTGTTCAGACAGTGAGAACTTTTTGCCATAGTCTCATTTGTTATTGAGTATTATGCTGGTAACTAGTACTGGTGTCAAAATCAAAATCCTAGTATCATGATAATCTCTTTAAACAACAGTCTTCAAACGGAACACTTACAGGGTTGCTTCAAAATCTTTAAATTCAAATGCAATGTTTTTTAATATATTTTCAAGACTTCAACCAAGCAAAACATAATATTTCCACCACACGAAAAAACATGTATATATGCTTCAAAATTGCACAATCCTGAGATGGTCTTTTTGTTATTTTACATTGTCGTGAAAGTGATATTTCATATTGCCATAGCAGCCTGCTCCACTCTCTCAGTTCTGAATGCTGTTTCTGATAATGCCGGTCGAAAACCAGAAGCACTGCAGTTGGCAGTAATGCAGAGTGTTTTCCACCATAGTTTCATTTTCATCCATTCGAAATTGGGTGAAAACACTGCAGGAGTGTAGCTGAAGAGAACCCTAGGCAAAAGCAGCTGCGTGCTCACATTTATGTGCCCATGTTTAGACAAGGGCAGCTAGTTTAAACAGCAGAATCACTGGTGATGTGGGTATTATTTTAATTTTCCATTTTAAAACAGTTCAATACTGCAGCCATTTAGACCAGTTACATTCTGAAAGGACGCCTCCCTGAAACAAAGAATTGCAACTGGATGAGACTTGTTTTATCTAATACCTGATCCATTGAAATATGCTGGGATTTGATGTCCTCAAATTTAACACCTCTACTAGTTGTAGAAAGGTTGTAGGTTGTAGAAAAACGTCTGGTTATGGTGGCTTTATGACATCAGAGTAAATAGAGTGCAAAACAGAGACAAAAACATAGGATGATAAATGGATCTGCCTTATTTTAGCTGATACCTGATACATTAAAAAATGATGACAGAATCAGATGTCCCTAAATTTAATACCTCTACTAGTTACCTTTTGAAAACATGCCTCATTATTGCACATCACAGAATAATGTCCAGCTATGACACCTCTATGACAGCGAAGTAAACCAGAAACAAAGGATCGGAGCCCAATCTCCAATATCTAGTAGCCAATAGCCAATAGTAGCCAATAATAGCCAATATCTAATTCATTAAAATATGCTGGGACCATATGTCCCTGTAACCTTAACTGTTTAAAATCTATTTTACAATATTCTACGACTTTTTAAGGATCATCCAGAACTCTGACTTATACATGAAGTAGGCAAGTATCTGACCATTCTGACCATAAAAGAGATGAACCTAGCTGCATAGGTGATAAATGATGTCAAAAACTTGACAATGCTTCACTTTTTTTAATCAGTTTTCAATTCAAATGAGCTTACTGTGCCAGTTAGAAACCAGAACCTGACCTTTTCCGTGCCTTTCACTATAATGTTATTAACAGGACACTTCATTTTGTAATGCATGACGCACAGTGGGTTCATCCTTTTGCTGGGAATCACACACAAAAAATGTGTGACGTGAAGCCCTTCCCGCTCTGAGCAACATTCCCAGAATCCTTCGCGGCCTTTCCTGTGGCGCTCGCGTTCATGGAAGTGTCAGGTTTTTATGACTCCAGCGGGCAGCAGAGGGTCTCCTCTTAGTCGCGTAAAAGCCCGCACCCGTCCCATCCGATCAAAGCGCTTTTCATTGGCCCCGCATTCCATTCCGACCTGTAAATCCAATGGCGACCGGCATAAAACTGTGATACCCAAATAAATTTCACAAGGGCAGCAGTGCTTGGGCCCCTACACACACACACCATACTTTTGCAGGTGCACCGGAGGCCCGATCAGGTTGGGGGGGAACGTCAGAGAGGGGTCAAGTGACCCTCAATCAACTCCAAACACATACACCTCCTGCTTCAACCCCTCTGAACAGACTGGTAGAACTCTTACGCCATTCCCTTTAGCATACGCACACACCACCGCAATGTTTTAAGGAGAAAGAGACTCGTATATATTCCTCGACATTTACTGAGGCCTGCTCTCACATTTCAACAGAGCTAATAATGCCAGTGCTCTAAAATAGGATTTAAATAGTCAGGGTGAGCGCACTTGTGCACAAATGGGGCCTGACTTTTAGGGCAAAATAAAATGTCCTGTTAATAACATTAAAGTGAAGGGTACTAAAAAGGTTACGTCCTGCATTGAGAAAGGACACAAGCGGGTGTGAGCATCTGTAGGGCTGCACAACATATGATGTTGGTTAATTGTTAGTTTGCAATACTGACACTACAGAAGGTAATTATGCAGATACTCCATCTATCCAATCACTTAATGTTTTATTTAACCTTTTAAGGACTAAGCCTAGAAGTGGCCGCCTGCACACATCGTATTAGTTTAAAATGTAAAGTGTTTCAGTCGTGTGCAAAAGCTTTGTTTTGGACACCCGGGTCAATTTACAGAGAACACAATTCTTTGTATTTTAATACAGAATTGCTGTGTATTTGCTAATGTTAACATACTGAAAACAAATACAACCTATAATGTGGCTTGTGCAAAAGTTGCGGCACATTTTATGCTTTATTTTGTTTTTATCCCCCAGTATGTTACACTCAAATTAAAAGAAATTGTGCACTAAAATGTCATATTTCAGTTTATTCCACTATTTTTATTTAGAAAATCAAAGTAACATAATACTGGACTTGTTTATATTTTTACATATGACTCTACTGTGATTTATTATCAACTCAGCTTTTCTGTAATAGCAGTTACTGAATGCAAATAATAAATGTTTAAGACTAAAACATACATAGCATGTAGAAATATATATAAAAATACATACAGAAATAAAAGAATTTCTTCTGAAACAAAAATGTGTCACACAAAAATTGGTTAATGAATTTCCTTCTGTTTGATCTAAAGTATGGACAATACATATGACCGTGCAAATGCAGTGTAGATTAGACCTGGGATTTTAAAGGACCATCGCAGTTTGCTGACATCTCAAACAGTTGTAAAGTTATTCAGGTTTAAACAAAGCTAAACAGTGTGACAGTGGTACTTAAAGGTTAACTAAACAGGATATAGGTAGCTTTTTCACACTACTTTATGCTTTAAAACTGATATATAAGCAGAATATACATATACATGGCCATAATTCATTTTACGTGGCCATTTTTAACCTCTCTATCGCTTAGAATTAAAGAGGCTGGTTTTGTTACTGTACCTTTAAGACTGATATGTATGCCAGTGAGCTCTGTTATGACTGGCTGTCCTGTATCATGTCGGGTTAAAAAAGCAGCCCAGGCTAAATCATTCCTTATAACCTCTTATAACTGATAGGGTGGGGCAAAACTGCTATAGGCCAAATAGGTGAATATGTGTAAATTAGTTGGGACTCGTGACATCACAGTAAAAAAAGAATGAAAAAAGTGAAGAGAATCCCCTTAATTAATGATGGAAGTTCATATAAACGTTGTATAATGTAAGAAAACTTGGAATTAATATTGTAGCATTTATATTGGTCATTCTAAAATATTCACACAATGTAAATGGTAGCTGTTGTTTGCAAATCATGTTTTTAAAAAAATGCAACAATGGAGATACAAGATTTTGTTCTGACAGCAATGATATGTAGGAATATAACCACAATACAGTATTTCATTCTTATTGTGCAATCCTGGTGTGTTTTATATATTACATGCACTGATCACAACATATTGCTGTTTCTCTCAAATCAGAAACGACATTCGTCCAGCCTGTTGGTCTCTTCTCTCATAGTTCTCGTAAGCCTCAGCTGTAAGAGCAGCAAGTAGAGAGAGACTGGGAAAGGCATGGCCTTTGAATGGCTTTATGTGAGGAAGCGCGTGGGAATTGATGGTTTGAGTTATTCCATTTAGAGCAGGATAAACAAAGACAGAAAGAAAAGATGCGGACTGTCAGACAGATCTACAAAACAAAATAACATGCACTATTCATGGCCAGTCTGAGCTCAAAGGCCTGGGGAGGGAGAGAGAATAGAAAGAGATAGAGAGAGAGAAAGAGAGAGAGGGGGAGAGAGAAAGAGAGAGAGAGAGAGAGAGAGAGAGAGAGAGAGAGAAACAAACAGGATGCAGGAAGAAGAAGAAAGAAAGATGAATTGACAGTCTGACTCAGACTCTTTGCTGGTGTCAAATTTCATCTTATGACAGAAATCAAGGCTATAAATGAGTGTGTGCGCAGGGGTCTGCATATGTGCTTGTGTGTTTCGCTACCCAGTGCAAACGCTCGGCCGCTCTGATGTAAAAGCAAAAAACCAACACACAGGCACGCACACACACATATGCACACAGCTGGGCCAGATAGCAGAGTGCTTGTG